AGTCGCAGGGCAGCGGGCCGAGCCGGGGCTCTGGCGGCCGCGTCCCCCGAGGCGGCGAGACCCAGAGCGTGGGAGCCGAGGGGGCGCCGGGCCAGCGGGTCCTGGGGAAGCGGGTCTGGGATGGCGCCCACGGGTTCCCCGCCTCTTGGATTCTATCTCCCGCCACACTTCCCCGGGAACTCGGAGAGGGTGGCAGCTAGGGGCTGCTGGTTTGGCCTTCGTTGAGCTCGGTTCAGCTGTGGTCACCTAATTGCCCGACTGAGGATGTGGGATCTGAGGGAAGGAGGAAAGCAGATAGAGGGGGATGGGACTGTTTATTTAACCTTTTATTCTCCTGACACATGCACACGAGCTATTTGTAAATTCGTTTAGAAGATTTGGCCACTTTATTTCCCCTCCTTGCCTGAGGATGGAGAGGGCAGGAGGGGAGGTAAAGAAAAAAAAAAATTCATCCTCCGAGTTGGAATTGTATGTAAATCAGCTTGGTCTTCTTGCAGATTACTTTTTATCCACACCTTTTCACATCTCAGGAAACTGAGGCTCACAGCCATAGAGGTGAATTTCCCCGTCACAATTGACCAGCCACAGGATGGGGCCTGGAACTGTGTGGGTGGGCTTTCCCTTGCTTTAATGGTCTTCAGCCTGACCACCTATCATGTGTCTATAGTTTTTCTCTTTTAAAAGTGAGAAGGGACAGGTAAAGCGATGTGGAAGAATGTGGTGCTAGTTAAACCAGACCGGGATGAAGAGTGAGCCTCTGGGAATCCCATGCCTTGTGCCCACTAACCCTCTTGGAATAGGCATGTCAGTAATGAGACAGTGAATCCAGGATTGCAGATTAAGGGATTCCGTGCGCTACAACAACCTCTCCTTTGACTTCTGTGTAGCGCTCATAGGGGTAAGTCTTCCTGACTCAATAAGGGTCCAGGAACTGGAGGAGGGCAGCTTTCGTGTGTGTGTGTGTGTGTGTGTGTGTGTGTGTGTGTGTGTGTGTGTGTGTGTGTGTGTGTGTGTGTAGAGAGAGAGAATGAATGAATGAATGTGAATGGAATCCCCAGTTGTGAACAGCCAGTAGACCACTCACTAGCTCCATGGCTTTGGGCACTTTATTCCCAGCCTCAGTTTCTCCTGAAGAAAATAATACCCCATAGAGTTATTGGGGTTATTAATTAACACAGTATAGGGAGAGACCCTATCGCTGTACCAAATATAGTAAAAACTTAAGAAATAGAAGCAGTTACGTGCCTTAGTATACTGTTACTCCGTTTCTCTAGGTTTTGAGATTGGGACTTAATAAGTAGGCTTCATGTTAAGAAACTTTTTAGTTTATCTCTCAGATTCCTTTACCTCAAGGTAGTTTCTGAGGCTGATAGCTATTGAGTGCCTCTTCTCCTAGGACATTAGGGTCAGAGGTTGGTCAGGAGTCTTGCAAAATGCCTGGAAGTCTTTCTAATGTCTGTGAGTCTTAACCCAAAACACTTCTATTATTTTTAAAATTAACTTCTGGTGTCTAGTGGCCTTCAGTGCACCTGAACAGTTGAAGCAGAGCCTTGAAGCCAAACATATTGGGGGAGAGGGTGTCTGCTTTCAGAATTCTTACCAATGACAGCAGCTACTGTAGTTTAATAGAATTATAGCTTAGCTGTCCTTTGTAAGCTCTGAAGTACATTTGGGGAGATTTTTGCTTTTGTTAATTTTAATATTTACAGGTGATGAAATAACGTATTAGATTGCATGCTTTTTAAACCTTATGGTCATTCACATAATGTATGTAGTATATATCTCTCCCAGCTGTAATTTTCATAGCTTTTTCTTGAGGGGTTTGGAACATACTAAGATCTGAGTAGGAATTAAACATTAAAAACGGTTTGTCTAAGGAGATCTGTAATGGGTTAATCTTTTGACCTGGGAGTGATTAGAACAGCTATCTGAAATCAAGGACTCCTTGATAAATACTGTGATACGTAGATATCTTACTAACTTAAATCAAGGGGAAAATGAGTTTGGTTTTGTTTTTTAATTTTAGCAAGTGGGCAGAGAGAAAAGGATTTGCTGAATAGGTCTTTGTCTTCTTTCAGTGTTTGTTATATTACCCGAAACAAAGAATCTCTCTGGTCATGAAGACAGTAACCCTTTCCTGGGTAATCCTTCCTCACCCTCATCTCTTAAAAGGGATGGGGTGTTTTAAGAGTGGTAGATTGCTTGATGCAGAAGCCTGGATTAGGCCCTTTCTAATTTGATGTCAGGCACCGCTTTCTGCCCTTTCACCTACCGTTCTGTGAAGGTCATCAGCTCTCAGGCCAAATTAAATCAATATTCCTTTGGTATATTTGCTTTGGCACCAAATTTTAAGAAAACTTTCTCTGGTGCAAATGTGCTTTTGGGAACTCAAGCTTTAAATTTAAAAAAATTTCTAAATTCATCCTGTAACCGTTCCTTCCTTAGCTCGTAAGAGGAACTCAAAATAATGTTATAAATGTGAAATGAGTGTTCTGGGCACAATGTAGGGTGTAAAAGTGAAAAGAACTAACCCAGGGCATGATGACTAAGGCTGCTAGAACCCTTATGACTGACTGTACAGTTTAGAGTCCCAGATCCAGTGAGTTGAGAAACACAGGAGACACCTGTGAGTGTGTGCCCAAAATCCCCCATGGAGGGATAGATGGAGAAAAAGGATTGCCGAGGAACCATTCCCCATAGGAGATGATTTCTCTCTCTCGCTCTCATCTCCTTCAAGTGCCTGCACCCTCTGGCAAATTGAAACAAAAAGAAATGAAAAGGACTCACCCGTTTGGAAAGTGATCTGTACACTATGAAGTGTTAAGTCGGTGTTCATAGTTACTATCACTGTCTTAGTCATAGATGATGGGGAGAAGATTAGATACATAAAACATTCTAAATCAGTGAGAAGTGCTCTATAAATAAAGAACAGAAAGTTATGGGGAGTCCAGTTTTGAGCTGAGTGGTAGAGAATGGAATGAATGTATAGCAGGTAGAAAGAACAAATCTAGAGAAAATAGGAGAAAGTTACATAATTGTTATTTAAAAAAACCCATTGATGTGTAGAATTGAGAAGAATTAATTTTAAGGAATGTAAAATATCTCAATAAATATGTTAAAAACAGCAGAGGAGGGACCAGCAGATGGGAAGGTGGTTATGTTGCTGGACTCCCACATGGTGAACCACAGTTTGATTCCCAGACCTGGTGTCTTGAAACTCTTGCTGGGTGTATGTGCATTTCCAAAATCCTGAGAGCGAAATGGAGGAGAAGGGATTGCCGCCGAGGGGCAATTTCTCGCTTTCTATCTCTCTGTCTCTTGTTAACGCTTGCACCGTATAGCAAAAATCTCCTTAAAAAAAATGGCAGATAACAGGCCATGTTACTGGCACAGCAGTAACATACTGCTCAAGTTATGCTGTATTTAAATGAAAGATCATATGTTCAGTTCCCTGGTGGGCCTGTATGTGCCACGGAAAGGGACCCATGATCCTGACTGGCTGGAAAGGTTGGGGGGATTGCACCATGCAACCCTTTTGAGGGTGCTTGTCTCTCACTCTCTCATTCTCATCAAAGAAATAAACTTAAAAAATGAATGGCAGGGAACCAGCAGTTAGCGTAATGGCTATGTCGCTGGATTCCCACGTAGTCGACCGCGGTTCGTGTCCCGGACCCGGTGGCTTAAAAAAACTCACGCCGGGCGCGTGTGCGTGCGTGCCCAAGATCCCGAGAGGAGAATGGAGGAGAAGGGATTGCGGCGTGACCATCCCCCCTGGGGGGTGATTTCTCGCTTTCTGTCTCTATGTCTCTCTCTGTCTGTCTGGCGAGCGCACGCACCCTACAGTGAAAATCTCTCCCCCAAAAAAAAAAAAAAATGAATGGCAGAGGAACTATTCTAGATTTTAGGAGACTAAGGATCAAAGCCAGCTATCTAGTTTTTGTATAGTAATTGTATTGCTGTCACACATCTGCTTTATCCTCACAGAAACTCTTTGAAATAGGTATAATGCTGTTTTTCCCATTTTATAAATGTGGACATTAGGCTCAAATTTTCCCAAGGTCACATAGCTAGTAAATGTCAGACTAAGGGCTTGAACACCTTTCTTCTGTGCTCAAGTTTATTCAAATTAAAAATATTGCTACTAGATTATTCATGTTTAGCAAGCCACATTGAATTGCTGTTCAGCAGCTGTTCCACTTAGCC